TTAACAGATATCGAATATGATTAGTAATATTAGCATTGCAGTTACGTCAATCTTCTGTCATTTAATTAACAGAACGAGTTTTTTAGATTGTCGTAGCTGAATTTTCTCCCCCGTTTCTTCTCCACCGCTTGCTGTTACATAAGTAATTAATTTTTTAAATATCTCATAGAATTTAAAATTATGAAAATAAAAAATGACAAAGGCAGGAAAATTTAATAATTTATAAACTCCTCCTCCTTCGATCCTTTGATCGAGCGCGCCTTAAATCGAAGACGATGCTCGAGTCGTCGCGGTGAGAAGCGATCTAGTTTACGATCTAGAGTGGATCCGCCGATCGATCTCGGCCGATTGAACGCCGCAATATATTAACCGCGTGCCTGTTTCTCCTCGAACCATGGCCGGTACCGGTGGTTATCAAGGCCACTCACTCGATTACCCATGTTTCTTACGAACTGAACGTTAAAGGCGTATGAGAGAAGCGCGCGATAAATACTTGGACAAGACGTATAATTTATAAGAACGATACGTCTTTCTTTTATGTTTCTTTCTGTTTCACCAATAATTGTCAATCTTCGGGCCACTATCAATGAGATTATTAAATACTCCAATACCGTTGGACCTTCTTCTTTCACGACAAGCTCGACGCATGTTGCGTCTTTTCGACTCGTATCCGAAACGGTTTCTTATCGCGATAATAATGCCGAGACCGTTCTGCTCGTTACATATGAAACCGTTGCAATGTCCTCTTCTGATCAACATTCGCGAGAGGTGTCTCATTAAAGCGTCAAAATTTCAGAAGGAATTTTAACAAAGTATTCCAAAACGATATTCTGTTTATTACTCGATGTAAAACGGATCTTAAAAAAGATAAGGATATTTTTATTCAAAACAGTTACTTTTTATTTTAACGCAATTACATTCACGATTTGAGCGGTATACATTATCTTTTTACTTTACTTTATTCGTATAAAATTTAAAGATCCTGCTTCATTCTTTTCATTTGGCAAGAAGGCAAGAATGTTTGTCGCAATTCCTAGCTATACGTCATCGCGATTGATCTCGAAGAATCGAAACGCACAAGAGATTGCTCTCCATCATCGTCGACATTTAAATGTTTAGCTCGCAATCGCACTTCGATATCCCACCTGCGTCAAACGAACTTGAAATCACACGCGTTGACCTTTCATTATATACGCGCCACGATCAGCGTCGTGTATCCTTCGCAAAACCTTTCGTTGCTGCGTCGATAGTGATCTGCCTTTCGTTTTTTTGCCACCATATCAGCAATAAATTAAATCCACCTCATATAGATTATATATGTGACAAGACGCGATACCAGGGTGTCTAGCGGTTAGAGAAATCTAGCAAACCAGGCATTGTCAGGGAATTTTATAAATCTGGAGTTGTCAGGGAAAAGTCAGGAAATTTTACTATTTATCTGGATTTTTTTTCACATTATTCTACATTTGTCTCAATAATTTAAAATTTTTTAAAAATAAATATAAATTTTTTGTTAAAATAAATGTAATTTTTGTTTTAAATTCTGAACCTTTTCATTGTTGATAAAAATATCTCAAGAATTTCATGATTTAACATTTAATTAATTTATCATATAGATATATGCAAATTATATATTGGAAAAAAATAATACTAAAAGTCAGGGAAAAAATTAATTTCTGGTCTTGGAAAATCTGAAAAAGTCAGGGAATTTTTTTTACCGAGTCTGCTGGAAACCCATACATATTCTTCGGGTCTTTGTTTCTCTCTTCGATGCACGATACACTAATTTTGTGTATAATTAACCAAGCATTCGAAAAATTTAACAAGCTATCTACGTCAACGACATGCTCCAAAAGTAATGATGACGCGACTGGAAACGAATCACGCGAGCATGTTCAGTGCGTGCACCTATGTACGTATTATAGATTCCACTTCGCGTAACTGCGCATATACAGATTATAATAAATACGTTACATTAAAGTGAATGAGCAGCATTACCGATATTCGCCGGACAAGTCGCTGCTTTTTGTCGACGTCGTGATAATACGTTCCGTTTCCTTGGAGATTGCTGTTCATTTCTGTAATAATGTACGGGTTGATTCTAAAATTGCGGGAATTTTCTCGCTCACGGATGCTGCGACGCCAGACTGAAAGTTTAAAAGCATATGTCCACACGTTTTTCTTTCGACATCCGTATGAAGGAGACAGTAAAAGAAATTTCAAATTTATTGATCTCTCCGGAACAGGGTTAATTCTAGCATATTTGAAACGATAGTCTTGATAATATTTTATGAGAAACGTTATATATATATATATATATTGTATATCCTAATTTTAAAATAACTTGGACAGCTATAATGAGTGAAAGTTTGCATCGCGACGCCTTCTCCGATGTTTATAACGGAATCGAAAAGGATACGAAGGCGATGTTTTATATATTCGCAGATCGGAAATTCATTTCGCGAAGGAAATAAAAAGGAGAACGGAAATATGTTTACTCTTATTTTCGTGATCGTGAACGACGAACCGTTGATTCGCAAAACTGTATACGTACCTACTTCGTGCGCGATCCTGCTTACGGGTTTACGAGTCGTCGCGTAAAAATCGCAAGTGGATCACCGTTATAGACTCTCCATTGATTCTTTTCGAGACCGATAGCTACTTTTGCGGAACGAAAATTATATACGTAACCGTATGTATATAGTAAGTGGGCGATGATATAAACTTGCGTTCGCTCATGCAAGTTCATACGTAAACAACCAAATGAATAAACATCGAAGTAGAGTGCACCGATCACCGTTATGTAAACGTCGATCTCAAATACACACGCTAGTCGCACAAACTTCGAAAGGAACATTGCTTGCAGACACGGAAATCTGAGACCGTTACTTCCGGTTTCGAAGAAAAAAAAGGAGAGAAAAAGTTTAAGCAACATTTGTAAAGAGACGCGTGTATTTTTATTGAAAAAAATATATATTCTCTTCCTTTCTCTCTTTTTCACTTTTCCTCGTTCGACATTTTCTTGTAAAATGCAAACAGGCTTCTGTGCTGCTTGGCTACTTTCCCGAGGAACAATTGCGGCTCATGAATTTCTGATATTTCATCTGGAAAACACTGACACGATGTTACTCACGTATGTGAGAATATACTGTTGCATTATGCGCAATCCTTGCCTGTTTGATCTTGCGAAAACTAGGGATAATTAGTGAGTTTTCACGAACGAGAGCGAGATCCGCGCACGGAAAGGAAACTCGAAAGCGAATGAAAACAAAATTATGAAACAGTTACTAGTGCTAAATTATGAACGTCATTATATATACATATATATATACCATATATAATGTTCTTTCATTAATCAGAAAAAAATTATTCGAAATAATATAAATCTATTTTATAACATCTCTATTTTAAGAATCAATATGCGTGAAATGTATGTGCACGAAATACATTTTCCTTCACGATTCTCATCTCCTCGGATTTAGATGCGTCGCTTTGGTTGACAATAAGAGGAAGGAGAGACGGAAACTAGGTATTCGCGTAGGCTGAAAGAGATATGTGCGCGTAAATAAATATAGGAAAATAAACAGGCTGAGAATGCCGACGGTGCCAAGGCCCCGCCGGCTTTCTAACGACAGTCGCTTTTATATAACGGCCATTATTCGTCCCTTTTTATTACAACAAAGGTAGATACAAAGACGCACGGCTTTCGCCGCGAGATTGCGCCGCGAACGGCACGCGATTCCGTGCCGTTTGACAATTATTCGTAGGTGGGCGGGGGCGATAGAAATCAGAGTATATCGAGGGATACAGATACGCAGTGGGGATAACCTTTCGGATTTATCCGACGAGGGACTAGAAGACCTCTTTGGCGATCAACCCTTCGTACCGGGTGGTGTCCTTGAATGACACCGTTCGTCTACCACGAAATATACAACAACGGTATCATTTCAATCACCCCGTAGACGGCTGTCGACTGCAAGTGACTTTGCAATCGAGTACTCACAATATTCTGGAATATGAAAGAAAAGTTTAAATTTTAATTAAATTTTTGTAATATATCGTTACGTATTTGAAGCATTTACTACCGTGTAACAAATTTAATATATTAATATAACGGAGCGAAATATAATATATTTTATTATGTATCAATATTTTTTTCTGGTTATTGATAACGACAGGAAAAGAATTAAGTTTGCGAAATAATTCATGAAGAGATATTGTTAATCCTCGATCGCTTCGTCTGAATTGATTATCTTCCACGACATTTTTACAATATAATCCTTCTTACTTTGCTACACATTACGCTCACAATTCTATATATATATATAATGTAAGAAAATCGCAGATCATATATACTATACAACAAACGAGATATAAAAATAAGTGGCGATTCTTTTCGAGCGTAAGTTTCTCGAGAGATGTAAAAAATTAACTGTACAAAATTATTTTCCAAGTCTCGGCTACACTAAATTTTCCTGTGATCAGCGAGCCAATGTATAATGTAATTACAAAATCTGTATAAATTTTTAATCAGGAGTGTATTCCTTCAATATTTCAGTATTTTTCAATATTTAAAAAAATTAGACTTCACACGAACTTTTTTTCTCAATAACTCTTTCTCGTATCGAACATATATATTGTTTTTACATCTTGTATTGACTTCCCTATCAAAACAATTAGACATTTATTCATTTCCCCATTTTATGTAGAATTAAAACTTTGATTTTACTATATACGTTGTCTCTCTGTTATCAATTACGAGGAGAAACGAGAGAGCGAGGGGAACATCATGCGAGCGGAAATTATCATTTTGATTCGAAATAAGCGGAAGTCGTCTCTAGTATATACTCTGGCCCTTGAAACGGAAATTCGAGAGACTCAATAAAGGGCGATTTGCACCCTTGCAATTACATACTCTAATGACAAATATCATACGCATTAACACACTCAACAAAGACTATATATTTTTTCATAGATATAAATATATATATATATATATATATTTTTTTTTTTTTATATTGTATATATAAATCATATAAATCAATAATTAGACACTTATTTACAATCGCAATGAGAAACATGTAACAAAAATTAAACTATAATATAGCCTAAGAGAAAGAGGTCGTATATAGAACAATTTCAGGTACAAAATGAGATTAATCAATTATATACAAATTTCACTCGTAATTATTTTAATCGTGAAAACGTCGCAAGCATACACGTCTCGCGATACTTATCATTTATCTCTTTAGATACTTAACGATATCGAGCCGTGTTACTTGATTAAAATCCGGACGATCGAATTCAGGCTAATCGAAAAATGAGCTCGACGATCGGCTCACGTACAGTTTGTATACAGGTGTTCAACGTTGCGGCAATCACTCGGTGAACGTAAATTACCGGTTTCTCCGATTCCCCTTCTCTCTCTTTCTCCCTCTTTCTCTTTTTCCCCTCGTTTCCTTCATGTCACGATCGGCCACGCTCGATCTCACTGATACGCACAATCGTGCAATGGATGTAACATGCCGACTTTGTATTTTGAAATACGGACAAACGCGATTGTTCTACGAGCCGAAACGGTGTATTCGCGTGACGGATAGAAGAAGCGAGAAACTTCATTTCGAGATGGGAAAATATTTTGGTGACGGCTCGAGTTTTTTTTCTCTCCTCCGTTCTCACTTTCGTAAGATGCGCGCATATATATAATATATATATATATATATATATGATACCTCTTTCCTTTTCCTTCAAACTCAAATCGCGACAACCAGTAATCGAGAGAATCGAGCACAGTTCGGGGCCTCGAGCGTGGAAAAAAGCCTGCGCGCACGGCGAACTTTCTCTCGACGCAAGTGTGACAATCGTTGCCCGCGACACGATTCTAGTCTAGACGTAGCCGATTCTAATCTGACCACTTTGATAAGCCGCGGTTCAATCGAGTTAGTTTCGCGTACTCGAGAATCCGCGAGCGAGAACCCAATTGTCATCGCGTGACAGAGAAATTCTCGCGAGTTGTCCCGAGAAATTCGCCTTAACGCGCTAGAGAAAAAAAAAATTTCAGTCAGTCACGATGGTATTCATGGAAGCCTCTATGTTTTTTCAGAAAATTATTATAAATCACTCGGTTGACAAATATTTTCTCGTTTTACACTAGTCGCAATAATTTGCACGCGTTTCATGAGCATTCATACGCGGAGAAAGGAGATATGATAATTGGCGAGAGACTATCGGGAACTCGAAACAATTTTCTAATCTCGAGTAGAACTGGAACAGCGATTTATCAGTCGCAATCACTTTAAGAAATGTTTCTTCCTCGCAGAGGCGCTGATGCAGGGCGCTTCCTGCTTCGAAGTCGGATCTTTCCACGCGGTGCTCTTCGTGGATGGATCGCTGAATCTCGTTTTGGTAAGGATCGTCGTCTTCGGACAGCCATTTTGTTCTAAAGGATCGCCCTCGAAAAACCGACACATTACCCGTACGGGCACGGCCCTCGCGCCCCGATTGAGATCGTGAAGAGATCGAGCGCGTTGCTTGCCTCTGGGACTCGGCTTCGAAGACGTTCGGCCGAGATCCTCCGTGCTCCTAGCGAGACGACCGCCTAGTCGCGAGAGAGACTCGAACAAGGTGAGCTTCTCTCGCACCGTCACGTAGTGGTCCACCCTTTGACATCGCTCCAGAAGCTTGGCGACATCCTCCTCGCAAGGCGGCTGCGTCAGAGTCGACGGAGAGCCTGGCGATTTCGGGAAGTCGATAGACCTCGAGCAGAATTGCAACGATTGACGAGAAACGGGGATCTTGGACGACAGAAGAGCCAGGCGCTCTTTGCGTTCCCGAAGAGTCTCCACGTTCGTAACGTTGGTGACGGTGCTCGATGCTTGTTGCGCCTTTTCGCGAAAGATCCTTCTCTCTCGCGCACGACTTCTCCTCTCGTCCGACCTGAGTATTCCAGGATTGCCGTTTCCGTTTCTGGGGCCACTATTATTGTTTCGCTTATCGGCCTCGTTCCGATGACTTTCCTCGGTGGAGAACCTCACCGTGGACGATTCGTTCGACTTAACCGGAGGTAATCGGCTGACGATCGAATTTTCATTTCGCATCGGCGGCACGTCATCGTTGTCGTTCGAGGAATCAACGACAATCCTGCTCCTCGATCTACCAAAGATCTTGGGCAGATTGTTGTTGTTCTCCTCGGCATTCGCTCTACGTCGCCTCGCATCTTCTTCAAGAACTCGTCGACTTCTCGCCTCGTTTTCGCGTCTGCGCGCCTCCTTATACCTCTGTATTCTCTGCTCCCTGGTCTCCGGTTCCGGCAAGGACAGGGGAACGCTGCTGGAGTCGACCGAGTCCACGCTGGACCGGCATACGCCGCCCCAAGGGAGACTGTCGTCGCTACCTTCGCTGCTCTCGCTGCAACCCCACGCTCTGCCGACCGGTTGGTCCTTGGCGCTTATCACAGCGGGTATACTCCGATATTCCCCCAGGAGGTCCTCGTCGCTGGAGTTGCTGCTGGACCAACCGCGCAACTCGCTCCTCGCCCTCCTCCTGGACTCGTCGAGGACTATAGTCGTCGCGTTCATCGTCGTCTTCTCCAACGGCGAGTCGCTCGGCCAGCAACGTAATTCGCTGCGGGATCGTCTCCTGGTTTCCGTAGGGCTGTCTGGCAACGGGATCGGCCCTCTCGGGCAGATAGTTAGTATCTCCAGAAAGTTCAAACATCGTTGTGCACGAAACGGTGTTTGCCGCACCAGTTCAGCCGCGATCGCTCTGACCCAGGACCAATAGATCGGTTCCGTGTCCGCCTGAAACATGTCAAAACATCGGCCTGTTGCGTTTCAATATTTTCACCAATAATTATTATAAACAGAATGTTTTTCAATATTTTCCTTCTTTCTTTTTTCTTTCTTCTACAATTATATATTATCATTGCGTGTATAAAAAAAACATTGAAATTCTTTAGAAAATGTTTTGGCTTTCGCGGAGAGTTGCGCATATTGATTAAAGTGATGGATAAGAATCAAGGCGATTAAATATAATCTGATCGATAACCGCAATATGAAAGTTTTCAGACAGGTAGATAGGTAGATGGATGATCTGATATATATGTATATATAAGCGGGTATATGTAGGACCATCATTGGCAGCATCGCCGACGGTTATGCGTATTCGGATTTCATATTCTCGTATGGTAGGTATATAGGTATCAGGATGCTGCATCGAGTAGTCGAACGGGTCTGTCTACCCGCAGGATCGACCGTGACACACGATTTCGCTGACTGGCCTGGCGATTCGAAAGTCGCCGGTTCGCTTGAGCGCGAGAACGACCGACTCCGACACCATGGAATTTACTCGTTAACCACCGACGGCGCGTCGATCATTACCATCTTCGACGGAAACAAATTTCCCTGTCGCCTTGCCTGCTAACGTGACCTTCGCGCGCGTACACGCTGTCGGTTCGACGACACTGGCCGATATCGGCGTGTCTGGAAAAAAGCCCGCCAACAAATTCCCGCTATCGTTCGTTGTCTATCTCACGGAACGGCGTGGAAAACCCGCTTTCGATCGAAAATCGTGACGCAGCGTCGAGTGTCGAACATGAAAGATATATACTACGTGGCGGTAAAATCGTGTGAACACGTCCACGTGATATTTCTATGGTGAAGTACAATGTTTGCGATTGCAATCATCAATGAGGTTCGCGTAGTTATCATAATTGCTTCAATTAGCGTTGTTAAGTCTCGACTCAGCACCAAAAAAAACGCGAAAACGATTACGAATGTCGAAGGACCCCCGGACGATTGACAGGCCACGCGCCAGCGGGCCACGAAGCAGCGTCCTTGAAGTTTTACAAAGAGGCGAGGAAACCCTTCTCGAGAGGTTACGAGAGCGAGCGTGGCGAGAGACTCGTGGTGGGATTCCTTGACAATGGCGGGTCATGGGAGAGCGGTGTAACGATCTCCCACGCATTTATCACGGAGTGCGAATCAGCGAGCGGGTGTGTTGACCTTGCCTACTGGCCTTATTTAAGATCTTGCGATTCGACGGCCGGACGGATGAACGGGCGTGTGTTTGTTACGTCACGTGTTCTCTCTCTTTCTCTTCTTCTCCAACACCTGGACAATCCGCGACCTTGCGGCAAGGATGCGGATCTCGTATATCCTGGGTTTCGAGTGCTTTATCCCACAATCGCGTGTCGGAGCGATTTTCATTAAGGTCGACCGAGCGATTCTCATCGTTCTAGAGAAGAGAGCTCTAATTGGATTATTCCGCGAGTGGAGAGGAAAAAAAAGGAAGGTGAAAATCTCCGACGCCAGGGCAAAACTCGTAAAACGAGTTTCGTGGTCACCGATCTTGAAAGCTAGCGGCCTAAAGAGCGACGAGCGGATTCTCTATGCAAAGTAAGGAGAAATTCGCGAGCCGCAGCGGGACTTGAATTTTGGAGGAATTTTCTAAAGACGGGCGGCTGGCTCACGGTAGATAGATAGAACTCGGGCGCGTTCTGCTCGCTCGCGGGGGATTGTATAACGCGTTAGAAATCGAATGGCGACGCCGGCGGGCCCGTAATTAGAAGTTGCAGCGAAACGGGAGGCCGGCCGCGGTCCGCCCGGCGCACGTGAAAGTGTTTACGGCCGAGGAAACGGATCGTGCCGGAGATAAAGGCCATTTACATGCAATTGCATTGCGTGGTGCATATCATTTCTCTCTTTCTCTCTTTCTCTCTCTCTTTCTCGTATTATCTTCATTCTTCTCTTCGTGCCTTACGATCACCGCCGAGGAACGCCACGATCGAGAATGGCCTTGTCCGTGGAACCGTGCCAAATCGCGAATGCCTTTTGCGTTCTCCGTATGACATTTCTGGTCCTTCGCTCTGTTGCGCTGGTCAGGTAGCGAGAGAGGAATTTCTCTTCGTAAAATCGACGAATTTATATCCGCCCGTTCAACCGAGATTAAATCAGAGTTTAATGAGGGTATCGATTAACGATAATGAGTAATTACCCAAAATGTGGCGAGAGAACGACCCTCCGAATCGCTCAGGGTAAAACCCAGAGCAAACGTGTGCGGTTGATAGATGCTGGCTGGTGCTTGACGGAGATTTAACGCTCTCAGTGGTAGCCTCATCGGAGTACCTTCGACCCACAGCCAACCCATCCTAATGGAAACCGTTTTCCTTTCGGTCAGATCTTCCACGTACAGCTCCCCTGAAATTAAGATGAAAATAATATGAGAGAGAGAGGACTGATTTATTTTATCGCAACGGAATCAATTTTTATTTGCGGTATTTTAATCTTAATATATGGCTGATAGATATGCTCCCCGTCACAATGTGAACTTTTGTTCTCGTCGCGTTCTATAGCGCCGGTCGTAAATGGTATAGCGCTATTAATATTCGCGCCGCGGTTTCGAGATTAAGTCAGAGGGGAATCGATGATTCACGCGAACTGGCTGGTAAACGAGAGCGGCGGAAGAAATCTCGCTTATATCGCGAGCAATTGATCGTATCTGCGTTACGATCGTGTATATCGAAAGTAAGAGCTGTTGACGGCGACGCGACGCGACGGCGCGCGATCGCGTTTATTAGCTTTATGAATATTTCATTGCGCGAAAGCGCCATTGTCAAAGGAGAAGGTTTACGCGAAACCGACCTTCGCAATTTCGCTCTATCCCGAATTAGCCCATAACATTCCGCGTGATCCGACCCGCTTTCGGAATGCTCCGAAGGAGCGCTCCTTAAAAGGTTTACGTCACGTACGTTCATTACGTCTCGGTTTTACGACGTAAGATCGTAATTCCACCTTCTTCGCGAAAAAAAAAAGAAAAACTACGGGAAAGGACATAAGAGGGCAACGAATCAAGAGATTGACGTCATCCGATTGAGAGGCGTGGGCGACGGATACGTGGTGGTATCATCCTGGCACCCCCGTGGTTATTCCGCGTCTCGTCTCGATTCAGCCTGAACGACTATCGACCGAAAACAACGTCAAACACGCCTACGTTTCTCATCGCGGCACTCGGAGAGACTATTTTCACTCGACTCCGGGATGGAAATAGATTCTATCGCGACAAACGAATGCTCGCTCGTCGCCTTCGTTCAATTTGACGGCGCCTCTGCGAGATTCACTGAATCTGTCGTCGAAACGCCGGCGGCAATTCGCGGGCCTCCTCGGCCGGAATGAGAACGCCGTCCTCGTCTTTTCTCGTCGCGACGAGATATCAAATTACTCGAAGAAAAAATCTCTTTTCGCCGAGTTTCTTAGTCTTGGATCCAATAATCTCCGGAATAACAGCACCGTTAATTAAGTAATTAATGATCACAAATCACATAAAACAAGCCGAATAAAACGAGCAATTAAAAAAACCATGTATGTATTCGTTTGTTATACACGAGCTTATTAAGTTAGCTTATTTTTTTTTCAAATTGTGTTTTATGATTATATCTATATATTTTAATTAATTGATATTACTCATCGATCGAATCCATTTGAGAGAGTTCGATGAATTCCGAACATTCTACCGTTTTTATAACTGACCCAAGAAAGAAGGGGGCTCACTAACGCATTTCTTACATGAGATGTTTTCCGGTTTTCCGAAACTTATCACGGAACGAAGTACAATCGGCATGCTTCGGATTCTTTCTCGATACTAACGAAGGGAAACATTGGGCATTTACATGTTCCGTCTTAAGGTCTTTCACTTGCATTCTTCATTCGTGTGGGCGGATGTCGATGAACGTTTTGTGTCACAACGACCTACGACACGCGCCGCGCTTTTGTCCGGAAATATTTCCCTTTTGCCAGGACGAAAATGTGTGTCTCGCCCAAATGAATCCCACCGATTATTAACCCTTTGTTCTCTATCGGGTGTTGGGTAACTCGTTTCGCTTTCTTACGCTGTCGCCATTCTTAAGACGAGAACACAATGGAGAGTCTAATCCCGTAGAAAATTGGTCTTTTAGAATTGCCGTAGAGAATTGTCGTAATAAAGCGTCAGATAATATCGGAAAATGTGAAATCATTAGTACAGGAAATATGTTGACAAGTGAAGGTTTTAATATTCGTATGTGATATATTCAGCCTAAAATACTTGCAAATTATATTAAGAGATGCGTCATGTGAGCCTAACAATGGTGACGGACTGACAACAACATGACAAGACTTTATACAGAGATTATAGACAGAGTCTCATGTCGCGCCGCATGTTTGGAAAGTGCTAGAAACAGCAGCGTTATATTTATGTCTCTTGGATGCTGAAGAAAAAAATCTCACGATGCATTATCGGGTGAAAGCGTCGCTGTTTTTCATGGAACGCGAAATTCGCATCATGGAGATACGATTATCTCGTTAGTTGACGTTTGGTAGCGTCACGTTTGCTCTCGAAAATCGCAGAACATAAGTGACAGAAGCATTTTTCATTTTATTCACGTTCTTTACATGTTTTATTGCGTCGACGAATCGCATTAAACGGTCTTTAAACAGATATCTTGTATTAATCACGCGATATCAGATAAATTAAAATTATTTTTATTTAATAGTTATGCGAAAATAATTCTTGCGAAAGAAAGAAAATTAATAAACAGTAGCAAGACTTATAATATAATTAAAGATCATTTTTCATTTTTTCCTTATGACTGTTTTTCATAAGAATGTTCAATTCTAGTAATCGACGTTCTTTTTTAATTCAAGTGTCATTAGCAGACCATAAAACTAGATAAAGATAAATTATGTGTGGTTTGCGGATCCTGCGGATGTTACCGATGATATGCCACCTTCTTGAATCTTATGATAATTGAATCGTATGATAATTTTCACACCAATGACTCACTATAAATTCATGGTCATTCCGTTTGTCTGCAAAGCCGACTCTGTGAGATTTTTCCACGAACGCGTTACGAAGTATCTGACTCATCAGCGAACCTCGCAAAGTGGGTGCATCAATTTTTTCTTTTAATCAACCAAGCGCATCGATTGCGCAAACGATTGCGTTATTCGAAAATTTTGATTGCCCCAATTGTACAAAAAAGAAGTCGTCAAGTTTCTTTCTATCGAAACTCGCACTCGACACTCGATGATGAAGCGAGATTTCGAGCGGTTACATTGTTTATTTTACATTATTTACTTTGACGATTAACGAATTTTGAAAGGCACAGCAGGTAGCTAATACTTATGCGTCGGCACATCTGTTTAGGATTTCTCTCCATAAATCTGAGTTTTCTGGTCGAAACATTCGGCACATTCTCGGGAAGCTTTCGAGCGAGAAGTGGCACGTATATACACTCACGAACGTGCTGTTTTCGACGCCCTTGAGAGTCCAAGATTCTACGAAAGAAGATCATGATATCCGCTCTCACGGTCCATTAAGCTCCAGAAAGCGAGCGCGTTGCGCGTGAACGTGTGAACAAGTCATAAATAAAGTGACCCATTTCTAGACCCGCATCCTGTGTCGCTTGGAAAGCTTCTCGGTTGGATCTATCGCTCGAAACACATCGCGAAAGTTCGTGCATTTAATGTCGCTGTCTTAATTTCTGCACTGACGTGTAACGAGAGATATCGCTTTTAATAATTTCACCTATTCATTCAATACACCGCAAAAATAGCTGACAATTGGAATTGCCATACAAATGTATGCAGCCAAATGTGCAGGACGATAAATATTGCAGAAATTACATTATATATTAGTGTATAAATAAAACTAGATTATAGTCTACGTCGCACATTTCTCGTGCGTGCAAAGTTCTTATCTTGGCATTTCGAGCAGAAAGAAGGAAAGTTGTACTGCATTCTGGAATTGCATATAGAAGAACAATGACGCGTCGTATTGTATCGCCGTAGAGCTCTCTCTTTCTGCGGAAAGGCAACGTGCTCAGGCAAACGCTCGAAGAAATATGCGATTACCTGTAACTCCTTTCGTAATAATTAGACATTATCGCGTCGGGAAAAGTGAGGCCTCCGCCTATTATTAATGTTAAAGAAAAATTATTTTTGATAAAAATTATATATATTATAAAAATGAAAAAAAAACAAGGAAAATTTTATTACAAAATTATAACACTTTAGAATGCTATAAAATTTTTAATTAAATTCTGATTATACGCAAATGAAATGAATATATTCATTAGATGCGCGTAGATTCCTTTCATATTTGTTCTTAATACATTAGTGATATAATATGGGCAATCATTCGAATTTTCGTTACGGTAGTCTATGAATATGTACGAGTTTCAAAGGATGGAGAACGTCACGAACGGTTGTAGCAACTTAATGCACGTCGCTGCACGTTTCATTCCGTCCCCCTTGTGGTTGGCCCATGTCGTATAAAACTCAGGAAGCCGTTTGTTACTTAAATTTTTAAGACGGGACACGTGGAATGTTTCACCTACCGGGTGATTCTTTCGAATTATTAAACTTTTTAATTGACCGATTATATTGATATAATTTAATTTTTCACTAGAAAGAAAGGACGAGAGAAAGAGAGGAGGTAGATTACAAAAATGAATATGCAAATATATATCGCTAAAAATGAGACTTGACAAAAACTAGTAGAACTATTCGAGGCTGTTTTGTTTTAGATAGATCCCACAACGATCCTGAGGCCAACCCGATGGAAAGGATCCGAGGAAAATGCAAGGTAAGTCTTTCATCCGCACTTCTTTTTTTGTGCCAGGCACTCTTTTCCGTTGCGCTCGGTCAACATAAAAGATCCTGTTTAACAGTCATTCATTTTTCACTTCATTCCTTCACGCTCTTCTGCCTCCTGTCAGTTCTGGCACGTCATCAGAGGGCCAAACAGGACCCCGCCGTTTTTTTTTCCCGCGCGGCCGGTCGCGTCGCGTTTTCGAAAGCGCCATGAATTATTTATTCGCGAACATCATTGGGAGGAACACCCTCGAATTCCGGTGAATGTCTTCCGATTTTCCACGCAGTCTGACCTCCCTTCGCCCTTTTACCCTTCTCTGCGCAGGATGAAGATTAGGATTTCATGGCTGTTGGCGCGATGAGTCTTAGAAGGAAAAAAAACGGAGGAAGCCGGCAATGCGCTTTCTCCGTAGGCCCCGCATAATGAGATTTGTGGCCGCATAAAAGAAGAAATATTGCGAAATAAGATTATGCGTTTGATGAGAGAGTAATCGCGTTTTCCGCAGCATTTGGTTCAAATACGACGGTACACTCCTGTACACATTATTCCTCGATATAAACTTTGTATA